TACTAGCCGTTCCGCGCACATGATTGGACCGGCTTGATAACTGTTGGGAAATATCTGAGTGCAGGGGGATGTAACAGTCAAAATTGTCGAGATTATTGTCGAGACCCTAGGATCCAACCACAGGAGCTCCGAGTCTCCATGCGCGGCTATCGTGGAAAATAGCCCATCAGGTCAATGTTCAGTCTGCTTGGCAAGCCATTGCCGTTGGCGGCGTGCTTGACCCCCTTGGATCGTGCAGGAGGCGCTGAACCCTTAAGGTGATGAGAGCCAACTATGTTGCACACCAGGCTGCCTTTGCGGGGTATGAAAATGCACAGATCGTGCGACCTTTTGAGTGTAAAGGGGCGAAACCTGGCGGCGCCTGTCTCCACCTGGAGATGTGGACTCGTGGATAGACTAAATGATCACTGTAACAGATTCTCCCTGCATGATCCATATGGGAACCGTGACGGTTTCTCAGCAATTCACAAGATACTGTGAGATTGCTGTCGACTGTGCAACAGTCATACATGCGTCTTCAGTCTGCCGGTCCGGCCGGAACGAATTTTCTGGGGTTGAGGGGCCCCGGATCCGGTGAGCAGGATTTCCCGTCCAGGTATTCGAAAATCGAGACCGCGTTTTGTGAACTCTCCTATGTGACAGACAGAAATTCCATATCCCGTTGGGAGAGTAGCGTGTGTCTGGGGAGTCTCATTCGGTGGAGGCGTCCTGCGAGAGAGAGAAAGATGGAGGGGTTGCCCACGGGAGGTGTCGCCTACTTCACCCAATCCCTGCCGCAGTTCTGTTCCAGAGCTCCCGTTGGACCCTGGAAGCTTGTACTCCCTGCTGCAGCTCTGCTTTGGACCGCGAAGCTATGTCCCGTGGCAGAGCATTCACCGCTCTTGCTGATAAGGCGCACACAGGAGAGTATTCCTTCAAGGCGGGGAAGCGATGCGACAGACCGGGGTGGAAAGTTAAATTGCACACAACATTGAACAGAATCCAAGTCCAGAATCCTTCTTCACCGGAGCTCGAATTGAGACATCTGTTGTAGTTTTGTATATAGAGCGCTCCGTCCACTGTTGTATGGCTACGGCGTTGGTGCCGCACAGACACTATTACCGAAAAGGGTAAGTGTCACCATGATCCTTGGCGGACACGGCTAAGCATATATTCTTAGTACTTCAAAGATGGGTCCATAAGGGCACGGTGCGCAGAAACTATATCGAAATGTACTTGTTAATTTGCCAGGAGGAAGTGAACAGAGCGCCAGTATGGTTTGATAAGACACGAACCGTCTCCAGTTATAGCAATGCTGGTGTACTGTACTAAAACCGTACTGCTAGTTACCCCGTGGGCAACATACGGAGTACAGCAAAACTTCTCCACACCCCCAGGGAACCGGTGGAGTCGGCACTAGCGCCCGGAGGAACAGCCCGCGCCGTCTACTGGCCGGACTGAAGCTATCCGTCCCGCAGTGAAGGTTTTTCTCTCTCTTTTCTTTCTCTGTTCTTTCTTGTAATTCTACACAAAAGCATAATTAATAATAATACTAGGCAGGCCCTGATGAGCCTCAAGTTTCAACTGTCAGCTCACGCTAGGTAAAAGGTACCGGATATCTGTTGCGGTCGAGACCGCAGGCACCAGCGTCGTCAATGCTCCTTGCACGGGCTGTGATTTACCATATTTCGCCATCTTACCTAACGCTTTCTCTATCGTCAGGGCCTCAATCAGGTGGCAACGATCCGGCCTCGCAGCACAAGGGCTTTGCACGGTGACGCGAGGCAGAGGGATCAATGCACGTCAGCCGATGGTCGCTGCAAATTTGCTTTCATATCGCCTGTCTAGTTTATGCCTTGCTGTTACATCCGTTGTCCGTCCGGTTTTGGCGACTCTGATCAAGAGACAGTCTGATGCTGATCTGATCTGATCTGATCGGGAGACGAAAGGCAAATATCTGAAATGAAATTATCTCAAATATCACATCTGATACTCGAGGGGGCCGGTCGAGTTCACCGAGAACGTCCGGAGAGCTGCCATCATGCCGTCCCGGAGCATTCTGTGTGGACGGGTGTACATTAGTTCGCCGGTCGAGGGCTGCAAGCCACGCGCCACCGCGCCAAAAGGCTGCAAGATCCACTCTCAACTCATGGCATGAGAAGCTGCTTCAGCAGTTTGATAAGCCCTTCCTGACGTCATGCACCTGGTGCCATGGCGCGTAGAGTATTATGGTACTATGGTAGAATTTATCAGGATATTCTCGGCCAGTCGAATGAAACTGGCGATAGGAGATGTATCTATCTATCTCTCAGGGCATCTGTTTGACCAAGAGGTCTCCCGAAGCATCCGTACCTAGTCCAAGTGTCATCTCACGTCAAAGTTGGAACCAGTCGATCTGGTCCTGAGTCGAAGCATGCACTCAGCCCATGATGGCGCAAGAGGTCATAACATAACCGTGCTGTGCTCAAACGTACTACATAGTTAGCGGTCGCATCTGGGCGGCAGGCGCTGGGACCAGAATTCTCGCCTTGGAAATAGGATCCGTGCTAGTAAGCGCCGGCAGCAGGGCAATGGCAGTGATGAATTATATGGTATATGGCGAGACTGAATAAGGAGAGTTTCAGCAGGGGTTCTTTGGCTTGGTGCAATGGTGCAATGGTCTCTGGTATCTCGAATGTCAGAAAAAACGAACTATGAATGGAGAGCAGCTCCACTGACTTTGGTATATCACGATTCACAACCAGGGTCCTTGAGGAGTAAGTTTGTGTTTCATGGGAATCCTCTACCGTAGGCGAGAACGCGGTGGAGTCGATGATGGATGGTGGTTGGGGTGTGGCAAATTCAACGGGCGCAACTCTACCAGGACGATCCGTGCATTCATTGGCGGATATGCAATACCATATACCACCACCATTATGATCCCTGGCGATATCGCGCTTGGCAATACTTTTTCATCATGGTTTGAGCTTTCCTGTTTCAGCCAATCTTGCCAGGCTCGATCTTTTTCTTGCCTTCTTGCTGGGAGCTGATTTTTTTTTTTCTGTTGCGGTCGCGTAAAATAAAGTATTACTGCAAACCGCTGTCTGGGGAGACGGAAGTCCGGATCGGGGTAGACCACCTCGTATCCCGTCTCGGAAACCCGTCAATATTTCGTGTCCTCTACTCCTACGGCACGCTTCCAGGAACAACTGTGCTCGAACGTCATGGAGTTGGATTATAGATAAAAACTAGGGTGCAAGCGTCCATGGTCAGAGACTAAAACAGGGAACCATCCGGCGGGAACGAAAGGACAAAAGTTGGAAGAGGGTTAAGTGAAATACTAGTATTATCTGCCGGGCAGAGTGGGTTTTGGGGGGGCGAGGATAGCGCCGTTTCCCGGAGCACCGCCTCTCTCGTGCTAGGCATTATTTCCGGACGCATCGGAAGACGGTGCAACCGCACTGAGACGACAGGTTTTCTTCTATCTGTCTTGTTCGATGACCTTATCCTACAGAGGGGAAAAGAAAAGAATCGAGTTGCTCCTGAGACCAGCAGGAGGCGGAGAGGCAGAGGGAAGGGGGATGAGCCTGGGGGATTGGAGATAGAATAGAGGATATCACAGTGCCAGTACCAGTACCATAGTCTAGCAGTACCAGACTTACTCTATCTATGGTCGTGCATCGTCCCTCGTCCAGTACTGCTCTAGAGCACGGTTAACCAGACCCCGAGGACACGGTTCCTACTTATCAGACTTTTTCTCGAGTGGGGAGAACGTACCATAACGTATTCTGGTACGGCAGAAGATCCCCCGCCATCGAGCGTGCAGCATCAATAATAATAATGAAAAAAACACACAAAGTAAGTACTGTCCGAACGCGCTCAGGCGGCAAAAGCGCCCATGTTCCCACCCGGCGGAACGCACGGTCTGGTGTGGCCGATCGGAGCCTCCTAGACCGTTCGATCGAGTCGATTGCCCTCCGCTCTGGCCTGTTCGTTATCGCATCTCGACCGCAGCCACTAAGTAAGTAATAATAATACCATACTTACTACTACTACTGCTCCCCCCACTCAATCCATGGTGTCCGCCCATCAGCCCACTGGCCGGCCCCGGTAGACTCGCTCGGGCTCACTGACTGGCTGCTCGTATATCACTACTGCGACTTCTTACTTCCTACTTCTTACTTCCTCGCCTCTCACTGTCCTCTCCTCTCCTCTCCTCTCCTCCTCTCCCTCGTCGTCCCCGTGCCATCCTGACAGGGCCATTAAATTACTCCTCCTGGTTCTTCTTCTTTTATCTGCATCATCCATCGATTGCATCTTGTCCTCTGTTTCCTTCGTTTTGCATTGGGTCTGGTCAACAATCTCTAGATGTCCGGTCGTCGTCTGCCAGAGGTAATTGGACTTCTTCGTTCTTGCCCTCCCGTATAACATCACAGTTTTGCCCCCGTAGATTTCCTCCCTCCAGCCCATGCGTGATTGCGTTCCTATACCACGATGACCTGCAATGGACTCAAAAAATGTTGGACCTGGTTGTCAAGCTTGATTGATCCTCTGACCTGAATTCGTTCACTTTTCCTCTCATGACGCTGTGCTTGGGCTATCCCGTATGGTCTGCTATCAATGGAGGAGGATGCCTGTCCATGATGTTATAATGTTATCCTCCTTGCCACCGTCCTCGACCAGGACACACACCCCCCAGTACATGATGTCTGCTTCCTCTCAAGTGTCTGGGAGCATCCAATCCTGTCGACTGTGTTCGGTCTCTGTCTGCTATTTCACCATTCACTTCCCGCTCTACGACGTGATCACCGGATATTACCTCGCCATCATTATTATTACTGTTCTGCTATTGTTGCGCTTTTCTGGTGACTCCTCACTGACAAGGAATCCCTCACAGCTCCGTACCCGTCTTTCCTTGCACCGTGGATCGTAGACAGTCTACTGAGGTGGATCTCGCTCTGAATCATCACTTGCCTGTGCGAGGATAATTCCTGAGCGTACTGTCAACCCCGTGTCCGTGAGTGTCAATACAAGCCGGCCGGATGCCCTACACTGCGCCTTCGCAGTCGTCGCCCCTCGCGGATGGACTTCAGAACTCAACTACAGCGCTCCAGCCGGCTGCCCAGCCATCTGAACCGGTCAATGCCGTCCCTGGGCGGCCTCGCCTCCCCTTTTCCTATTCCTCCACAACCTATGTCCGCAGACACCGCAGAAGTCCATCTGTGAGCAAGGCTGTCATCCTTCCGGCGGTGGAGGCCTCCTCACTTGAGGTTTCTCGGATCCACGATGTCGACCCCCGGTCGAGCGTACGGCAGTCCCCTCCGCCACTGACTGATGCTACCATCCCCCCAGGCGCTGTTATATCTCCCCCGGAGTCGGTAGCTAACTCCAGTGATGATGAGGAGGGGGAGCGAAGGAAGAAGACGACGACGATGATGAAGCCCTCGTTGGATGGGCTGGAGGAAGCGATCAAGTCGATCCAGAAGGAGCGGGAGATATCCCCCGCGGACTCGACTAGAATTGAGCAAAATGGCGACTCGTCCGGCGACGTATCTCCATCGACAGCCACCCCACCACAGATCCCATTGCGTGCGCCGCTGTCTAGAGAAGCGAAGAAGATTTCACACTCCCGCTCCTCTACAGAGTCTTCTATTGTGGTACCTGGACTCCCTCTTTCCTCCTCTGATGATAGCGACCAAGAAAATGAATTGCAGGGGGCACCTCCCATGGTGCGGAAGAAGTCTGGTGAACTGGTTCGACCGGCTCTCCGCCCTGCTTCAGCCAAGAGACGGCCATCTAGCATGCCGGGAACCCCCACCTTCGCCAAAGCGGTGCACTTTGATGCTCAGCTCGAGCATATCCGTCACTTCCTACAGTTGGACAGGCCGCTCGCTGTGAGCGCAGAGACTTCCCCGACTGAAGACTACGAGGATGACGCCGAATATCCTTTCGGCAGCGGTCCAAGAGGACCAGAGTTCGAGTGGGAACTGCGGCTACCAAATTTCCCCCGGGATCCATCTGCGAGACTGCACCAAGTGGTTCGCCTGGAACGCCTCTTCATGTCGTCTGACAACAAGAACCTGGTTGGAGTCGTCGCTGTCGCCAATCTTGCCTTTCAGAAGCTCGTGGTAGCTCGCTTCACATTGGATTATTGGAGGACCATTTCCGAGGTCACGGCGGAATACAATCACGATGTCCGTAGGAAACAGGCTCATGATGGATATGATAGGTTCAACTTCAGCATCAAGCTGGCTGACCAGGCAAACCTCGAATCCAAGACGATGTTCATTTGTGTCCGGTACAACATCCAGGGACAGGAGTACTGGGACAATAATTCTAACCTGAACTATCAAGTCGACTTCATCAAGAAGCCAAAGGCCGGGATAGAGAAGCACAGCGTCCCAGGTGTGGGACCTCGCCATGCCCTGCCGCGAAGCAGAAATCCATCGGCGCCCAGTGTCCCCAGGCCGCGCTCGATGCCACCCTATTTTGGTGACCTTGTTTCAGCAATGGACAACTATGATCCTTTTCGACGACCTGACACCACCGCGAAACGTACGGATTCCTCTCTGCGGTTGTCTAGCAGCCCGCCGCGAGACTCTTGATCTCCGACCCACCACCCCCACGCAAGAGCAGCTCGTCCCGCCAGGCTTTCGGCAACCGATATGATTTTGGAGTGTCCCTCTCTGCGGCGATGCAGAGGAAGGACACTGCTCAGGACCGAACAGTGTTGTCGGCCAGAGCCAGGCTCGATTCTGCAAGCAGGCAGAATGAGCGCGCGAAGGAGGAGAGCGGGCCACTGACAGGCAAGGCCACACCTCCTCCTGGCCTGGCTAGTAATTCAGCTCATTCTGAGTTCTTGAAGCCCTCCTCTATTGTCTCTAGCAAACCGCATCACGAGTCGACCACCTACAGAGAGCTGGTCGACAAGTACTGCTTTGTAAGCTCTCAATGATCGCCTTAACACCTTGCAGCTCTTCACTAACCAGTCCCAGTATGGTTCGCCCAAGAGTCCCTTTTCCAGCTCGAAACGAACTGAAACTCCTAGCTGGGAGTTCGCCGCCGACGGTGCTTCCGGCGGATCCACTGCTTCCTCGTCTTCTTCTCTTCGGCCATCTGGATATGGCGAGAAATCTGATTCTACAGTTGCGAGTAGTTCTACTCCTCGCTCGCAATCTCCTTCTGCGGCTCGTTCGAGTTCACATGCATCAACGCCGCTTAAATTTGGCTTTCCCTACCAATCGCTACAAACCAACATATTTTCCGAGTCCAGCGCCCCGACTGCCATTCACGGATAACTTGGCTTGCTCGACGTCCATCCCGAGCTCCAGTTCAATTATCTGTGGCGTTGTGGCGTCACGACCCGGTTCTACTCAGAGCTATCCTACAACGACAGCGATTTGGCGTAAGGCTCGCAAGTATGACGCGTTGATTCATTTCCGCTCCTGCTTGCACCGTCTATGCCACTATCACTGCCATATCCGCGATCCAAGATATTGTTATAACCGGGGTATTTCTGAAAACTTCTAAGCCTGAGATCGCGGACCGTTCCAGACCTGTATCAAAGGACTCCGAACGCCGGTCTGGCTTTTCATCAGTATCGCATTTTATTACATCAAACCACCGTTCGAGGCTGTTCATGCAGGAATTCTTCATTAATAACTTAACATCATTAGTCTTCTCTCGCCTGGCGACCAACTTTATGCACTACTGTTTCGCATGCATTACGACGCTATGAATATGTTTTGTCTTCTTTGATTTAGTCGTCATGTTCGTTTAGTTTTTGATTCGAAAAAAAGGTCGTACTTGCGAGTTGTGTCTCTCCGCTCTGCGTTGTTTTATCACATACGCATGCATAATTGGGTGGCGTTCAGCTGTTTGATCATGGTGTTAGCTTGATTTCTTCGTGGAGAGACTTGTATGTGGATGGGATTATCCGCCAACGAATTACATGGCAAATGAAAGTCATCTTGAATGGCAATATATACAAAAAATGATCTGAATCTTTCTTGTAGATTGTAGGTGCGCTAAGTTGATAAGTTGGCTTGTGAGTGTATTCTCTCCATGTCTTGCTGGTCGAAGTGTCGACCGAAGCAGCTACGGGGATGGTCATGGATGGAGGTGGCTGTGACATATAGAAGACAGATGTGTGGATCGTCGCTATATGATATGGACAGAGAGATAACAGGCAATATCTGAGAAGGAGTTCAGTCTGGACAGAATCCCTGGAACAATGTAGTAAGAACTTATCTTATCGCCAGCGATAACTAACAAGGAGGAGGGATGCCAAGACGCTAGAGCGACGGGAACCACGTGACTATATACTCCCGAGAAAACGCCCTGCTAGTCGCGGCGGACGGGCACGCGGCGAAACATGCCAAAAAGTCAGCGTCCAAAGCAGCTCTTCATAACGCCCTTTTTTGCTGCCTGTGCCCCGCCAATCAGCTGGCCCGGATTCTCACCCTTTCCTTTCCTTTCCTGCTCGCCTGCCCGACCTCGCTTAGTCATTTTCGCTCCCGCCAGCAAAATCACGCGCCCTGCAGACCTATTTAAACCTATCGTCCCTCGTCCTCTCTCCCTCTCTTCTTTCCTTTCCCCTCCAAATCCGCTTTGGCCGCCAAATCAACGCCAACGCGTCAACGTCATCACGAAATCACGTCGTCTCCATCAACTTTTTATCAACAAAGACTCTGATTATCCTCATTCATCATGACTGGACGTAAGTAACTATCTCCTGTTTCTCTATTTGAGACGCGTTCGCCTCGGGTTCGCCGTCGTCGCGCGCCAGGCACGAGGTTTGGTGAGGCGTGTCGGGAGTCGCGTTCGCGGACACCTTACATAAGCGTCTACATCTTGACGACCTCGATGCCCCTTGATGGTGTCGACCACGCTACCTGTCATTATTATTTCATTCTAATCTTGCTGGACTATTCACTAACATGTCCTCCTATCACTAGGCGGCAAGGGCGGCAAGGGTCTTGGTAAGGGTGGTGCCAAGCGCCACCGCAAGATCTTGCGTGACAATATCCAGGGTATCACCAAGCCCGCTATCCGTCGTCTCGCTCGTCGTGGCGGTGTCAAGCGTATCTCTGCCAGTATGTACCCATGTCTGTAATGCTCTACTTTTGCGTCAGTCGCTAACAGGCCGCTAGTGATCTACGAGGAGACCCGCGGTGTCCTCAAGTCCTTCCTCGAGTCGGTCATCCGTGATGCCGTCACCTACACTGAGCACGCCAAGCGGAAGACCGTCACCTCCCTCGACGTCGTCTACGCCCTCAAGCGCCAGGGCCGTACCCTGTACGGTTTCGGTGGCTAAGCGAGTCCTCGCCTGGAGCGTTGCACTTCGCGCCTGGTCTTGGTCTTCTTTCGACTCTGCGCAAAGGGTTCTTGGCTATGGTGTTCGCTGCTATCTGTCTGCTTTCTTCAATTACTGGGAATGATGGTTACCTGACGCGTCATGGGTGATGCTCTATCTGCTGTTTTTCCGGTTGACTTAATTTCTACGGCTACGGGGTTTCGGACGGTTATCGGATACGGGTTGGCTGGGTCGGTTACTATTAATTAGCTGGGATGGATGAAGTGGTGGATTCCACTGCTGTTCGGTTTGAGGTCATTCCTCCTGCATCCATCCATGTAGCGAATACAATCCAGCTTGATTCTTGAATTCACAGTTTGTGGACTGCATCATTGAGTAGATAGATGGGTTGTAGCGTAGACGTACGTTAATAGTCACGACATGATTCTCGCGAAGACTGGTATACCACATACCATAACGGCAGAAATCTCATGAAATCTCATGATATTATTGACATGATCAATCCGTCCATAACAACTCCGGATTCTGTTTGTGCACGGACCAAGTATCCATGACGTGATGCACCAACTCCGCCTTTCCCTGGCCGATCGAATGTTCGAAGGGTTTATTACCGTTGTCAATCCACAAAGAAAGAGGCCATCTACTTATCATCTTGCTATCCAGTTCTTATTACCTGTCTTAATCTAATATCGAACAAGTTCCGATGCCAGAACTGCCTGATGGATCATTGATGCGTTGATTTGGCCTTATCGATCTTGGCTATCTTATCTACACCCGCTCTTCGATCCATCTGCGAGCTAGACGGGAGCTATCTGATACTTATTGTGCTGATGAGGGAAGAAGAATCGACCTGTCGGAGATATATGAGATAAGTGCGCACAATGGACGACGACGACAATAGGGTGTTGGAAATCCGCATCGTGCGGCTGCCAAGTTGGGTATGTTTTTCATCCCCTTCTAGATGGTCCCTTGCACCAGAACAGAAGAAGGTGATTAATTCGTTCATTCTATAGGATTCCTTCCAAGTATATTATGAATACGAGTCCTCTGGTCCCGAGCCCAGCGATGAGGACTTGAAATCAACAGCCCTGCTGGGCCCAGCTCTCCCGGCCCTGGGACACGCTCTGGCTGGCGCTGCTGGAGCGGCCGTCTCGAACCTCGCAACATACCCTCTAAATCTGATCGTGGCGAGGATGCAAGCGCAGAGACTTGCGTTGAAAAAGAAAGAAAAACAAGCTGAAGGGAGCGAGGGTGGGGAGAAAAAGGATGAGAGATATACCAGCATCCTGGATGCAGCGCGCAAAATCTACGCCAAAGAGGGAATCCGTGGGTTTTATACGGGAGTGGGACAGGATACTGGAAAGACCGTCGCGGATATGTTTTTATTCTTCCTTGCGTATACCTTTTTGCGGCAGCGCAGGATGAATTCCAGGGCGACGCCAGGGAACTCGAGGAAGCCGGCCGTCCTTCCTATCGTGGATGAGTTGACGGTTGGTATTCTGGCGGGTGGGTTTTCGAAGTTGCTCACGACCCCGCTCAGCAATATTGTTACGAGGAAGCAGACTGCAGCGGTGCTGGACGAGTCTGGGTCTGCGTCTACGAAGGACATTGTCGCTAAGATTCGTGCCGAGAAGGGCTTGAAGGGCTTCTGGGCAGGGTATCCTGCTTCGTTGATCCTGACTCTTAACCCGTCTATTACGCTGTTTCTCAATGAGATCCTAAAGTATCTGCTGCTGCCGCGGTCAAAGAGGAATAATCCCCCTCCAGCGGTGGTGTTCTTGCTTGCCGCCATCAGCAAGGTGATTGCATCGATGATCACCTATCCCATCTCCCTGGCCAAGACGAGGGACCAGGTCAGCGGCGCGAATGCAGAGGACGGCCCGTCGAAGTCATACCGCTTCGTGCCCAGGGTTCTCACCACTGTCAGCGCCATTGCTCGCACAGAGGGACCCGGAGCGCTCTACGACGGCCTCTCGGGAGAAGTTCTAAAAGGATTCTTCTCCCACGGCATTACCATGCTGACCAAAGACGCTGTGCACTCGCTAATTGTCAAGACCTACTATGCCCTCCTCGTCCTTCTGCGCCGTTACCCCAGCCCAGACGAACTGCTCGAGCGCGCTCGCGACCGAACTGAAGACCTGTACGAGACAGCCCGCGCGCGTGGCAAAAATATCGCAGGCAAGGTGAAGGATAGCGCCGAGAATGTCATCGACACAGGAAACAAGGTCGCCGGCAACGTCTCTGTCGATATGACCAGCAATGGAACGCCGGATCCCGACTCAGAAGAGACGGCGGAACTAGTGCATGACTACGTCGAGGACGAAGCGAAGAACTGGCGCAGTCTGTATCATTGGTTCTGGGGCAAGAAGTGAACAGGATTCGGTTCAGTTTGGATTAGCGCGCTTTTTTTTCTTAGGATATACGTGTATGTGTATGTGTATGTGTATGTGTGATAACGAGGAATTTGCCGCTGTTTTTTTGATTCATGGAAAAGCTGTTTTAGCCTCGTCGGTTAGCATCGAGTTCTAGTCATGTCAAATTTATATTGGAATTATCTATATGGTGTATTTATTACATGAGTACTAACTAGTTAGTCTTGTGACAAATTCTGTTTCTTCGCAAGAATGAAAACCATAAAAATCAATCTCCGCCCTTCTAGACAACAGGCGACCTAAACCACCCCATCTGATCCCACCGTGCGAAATCCCCTTCAGAAGCAAGTCCAATCTTCACATATCTTCCGCGTCTGCTAGCCCGTGTAAAGTGCCCAGAGTCGATATCTCTGCAGCTCAGCGGTGGTTACTTAACTCAACTCTCGGGGCATTTTGTCCTCGAGTTCCCTCTCCCTTTTCCAATCTAACGGAGAACACGTTCGACATTGTAAACGAGGTATTCTGCAGCTTTACCTAAAGCGATCCACGAAGCACTGCGACGTTCAGCCATTGTTGAGTTGGCGACGTGAAAGCTTGATACAGTGTTTGCAAGACGACCTAGAGCACAAAGCCACCCCTGAGACTTATGGAGTTCCATGATCTTCACACCGGCGTCGTGGTAAAACTTAATCAAGGACGTCGTTTTTGGCTTTTGGGACTTTGCCGTTGTTTGCTCTGATGTGATCGTATGCTTTGATGTCATTCTTGAAGGGAGTCTTCGACGTAATTGATTGTTTGGACTTACTTAAATCAAGTCTTTAGCATTTGCCAAGGCAATCTTGTAGAGCCTTCCTTTAAAGGCTTCAGGAGCGCCTTTTCACGTCTTTGTTGGGCTTTGTAGAGTATATGCGGTATTGACCGAATGTCTTGAGAAAATAGCAGTGTCTAAATATGTAGACCATACTGCTACTTGGTCTAGTAACGATGGTATCTTTGAGAAAGTATCTTTTATACTGTTGACTGTGGCGAAATCGGGATGGAGATTGTGTTCTCTTGCTCTATCGAATCTATTATAACTTTTAATTAGGGATCTTCTTTGTTATATAAAAGGCCAAGCACTCTATTTTGAGCTGTCGTGGCGCGAAACGGGTACGGATATAACTTACCATGGGTATTAGCGACTTTCTCAATATGCATTCTGAATTCGAGGTTAATATCTGTTGGCCGCTAGAAGAGTAGAGTAGAATGAATAGCGAATAACGAACCGGATTCTTTCGTGGTCTATACCCCATTAAAGATCATCCCCAATCTTACATAGATATAGAGTCTTCACGAGAGATACTAGATGTGTCCAGGGGTCTTGTCCATGACATTCATTCACCCCCCCCTCCCCTTCTGAAGAGACCTGCGTCCACGCAGGGTCTTAAGTTGTCAAAACAGAAACAGTGGACCGCCCACTGAAAGCCATGGAGAATTGAGGCAAATCGGGAATATCTCGCAGCAAGGGACGCCGCGATATTGAAAAAAGCATGGCGATAAATTATAAATATCGTCGTCAGAAGAAAATAGTGGACTATCTATCTCATTCATATTAATTTATGTGTATGGATTCGTTTGAGCAAGACTTACTATTTATTTTGTTCTCATGATTCAGGTAGAGCTTTTTACTCAATATCTTAGTCCAACCTGCAATATGCGAGTGCAATACACTAGGAAGAATAGCGTGTGAGTAAACCGAATTCTGGAGGGATATGTTCCATGATATATTATCCAATCTCTGTATTTCAGCAGCGAAGCGTCCAAGATCTTGCACAGCAATTACTCAAAGCAACTACAGTAAAACCTTTCTATAACGAACCCGCGTATAACGAATACCTCCAGATAACGAATTTGACATCGGGTCAAATTCAAATTCCCATACAAAATTCGTTATTCCTCCCTACTACGAAGTTCGTTAATTTTTTCAGACTTTTCCCATACAATTCGTTATACAAAAGTACAGATTTGCCTTATTAGTCAGTAATTACCTCATCAAAAATTACCTATCAAGGAAAATTTTTTAGAGAATTTCATCACCCATACCTATATTACTAATACAGACCCACTTTTCATACAACGAATCCCCTATATACAACGAATTAGACTACCTGGCAAAAATGATTCGTTATAGGCAGGTTTTACTGTATATACCAATTATTCGACCCGGGAAGGTCCACGGGGCGACCTGACATCAGGACTGCCAGCAAGAACCGACGGAAGACAATTACCCCCCGAGCATTCGAACAGGAGCTTAACCGAAGGAAGGCCCTTGAGTTTCGAGTAAACGGCATATGAGCCCTGAAGGACAAAACCCGTTGAGCTAGTCCTATAGACCGCATCTAGTATAAGCCCAGCATACGGACCGAGCGAATGCAACCAACCTATCATATTGCGGAGATCTTGATCCGAAAAGTCCTTATCTACCTCGATGCTAAAAACAGCGCGAAGTGCAGGTGGATCGGCAGGATATGCTCTTGGAGCTGATGATCCGGGGAAAGAGAGACATGCAGATGATACTCCGAGAGGCACTGCATGAGTTGGTTTCCTCTGGGATGATTTAGTTCTCAGCATAGCAATCAGCTCAGCCATGTCGATTGTTTGACGACCTGTTTCTTTCAGGTCGGTGACTTTCTCTGCCAGCTTCGCTGAGAAGGACACGCGCTGATCTGGCACGAACGCCCGTGGTGCGTTCGTGTCAATCGCCGCAAGAACATCAACTGAGCGGCTAACAGGCTGCGCACTCTTGGTTCTAAGGAAACTATAGCGGCAATCTAAGACGTATATAATATCCACTGGAGCGTCGTAGGGAAGCCCCCCTTCATCGGTTGAAAATGTAGTTATGAGCCAGTCAGCATCTAGACTCCTGGTTCCTAATGCTGAGGTAAAGCGTATTGTGTTGTTTGGACCGACAACGCTATGGCCGGCGTAGTGTATAAAGCAAATGCATCGTCCTTGAGTAGAAAATTTGAATGCTTCTCGCAGCATGCTCGTTGTCTTTTCAAAAACTGTCCAGCCGTGGGTCCAGTCTTTTGTCTCGAGGGTGACAATGGAAGGGGGCGAGAAACCGAAGGCAGCAAGGAAAGATTGGAAGTTATCGCAATCCCTCTGTGCCTCTGTGTCGTCCTCCCACCTTATGTGAAGGGAGAAGGACTTGGTGTATATTTTGGCATGTTGGTCGACGGCCGTCGTGAGAGAATTACGGAACTCGCTTTCTGTAAGTTGGGACATGATGATTTCAGAAAGGTGAATGTATAGTAGGTATTTGTAAATATAAAGAGACAGTATATATGTAGTCCAAGTCCTCTGACTTGAATCCTTTATATAATATATTGACGAAGTCACCGGAGAACGAGTATAATGGTATACTATACGTATGATGGTTCAGCTGAGGCTATAAGAGGTGAAGAAGGAAGAATGGGGTAGAGGAGAGAGGATACTAGGCAGGCTTTATATATCCGGAACAGGGCCATTCCCTTCTATCGCTTAGATAGATAAAGTGAACGGTCCCTATAACGGTTGATCCTAACTTGAGAGCAAACACCACTCAGTGAACTGGCTCCACTAATCCCAACTTGACTGTGTAGGTGAATACGGTTCTATAGGTACTAGTACTAATTCGGGACTCTTTGTAACTACCTTATCCATGGATGCATGTTGCAGCCTAGTAGTCTACCAGGAGGACATTATGATATTGTAGCTACATAATTAGATTAGTGTTAATCTTATCGAGAGGTATGACGATGACTCCATCGTCAAGTGGAATAAGCACCGTACTAGCAGACAGTGGAAGACTCCCTACCGAGCGTGCACACAAGAAAAAGCACCATCGTAATAATAATAAGTACTGACAGCTGCTAATGAGGCATCCTCGGTCATTTTACTGTTTCGTTTGAAGCGCAAGAGCTAGAAAAGCACGACGATCAAGTGGAAATCTTATTAGTCGAAACTACGAGGAAGAGGACTTTCCGATATAGTTAGACATAGATAATGCCAGTAGTAAGATGCAGGAATTATCCACGAAGGATATAGATATCATCTTAAGCTTCCAACTTGATAAAGTTCCCAGGTCCGCCATAGATTTTTTGCAAGTCTGTTCTTGATACTACTGTCCAGTAGATAATATTTTCATATAATGCCTTTCACTGGAACGAATTCCGGATACAGAATACTTGTACAACTTGTGAATGGTAATAAAAATAAATCAAGAATTGAAAGACAAGTTCCCTAATCCAGCCAGTACTGTCAAATAATATCCTATCCCGATCCTTCCTATTCAGATTCCGAGGGAAGTCGCAGCGACAAAGGAAATAAATATTGTGCAGAGAAAACAGAAAAAGGTATCGATGGCCTCGTATCTATCCAGAAGTAGATATCGAAGCGAATTATTCGAGTGGGGTATGTTGGATCACTGGAGTAGAGTAGATCCGTGACATAGGGAGACAACGAGAGACGGCCTTATGGAATATCCCCTTCGGTCGTATCTTTTTGTCATTGACCCCTTCCCCGTTTCCAGTGTGTATGCAATAAGTGAATTAATCCGTCGTGCAGTCGTCAATAAATAATCGTCCAAATGAGATGACCATTTCAAGAAAAAGTAGAGTGATATCTTCGTGATTCGTTATGGTCCATCCATACCATTCAAGTGTATGGTTGGAGTCGCCGCTGGTAAGAGACCATATCCTCATATGCAGGCTCCCCCTCCTGCTCGTAACCGTCCTCTAACCAACAAGAACATCTCACATCATGATTTGCCCTTGATGTCGAGAGAGCAATCAAGCAGCAACAAAGCTCCCTGACCCCGTCGGAAGACTCGTTAACGACCCCCTCCCAATCGACTCCAGATATGCCATATGAAGATTCCTTTGTCTGACTTTTCTCATATACTGTTCCTGCTCGGGAGGGTAGTCTCGCACAAGGTTCCCCTCGTCGCCGCCGAGGTAGTGTGAAAAAGAAGCCAGGCCGGCGACGGCGAGCCCGGCGGCGGCGAGGGCGATGGCGATGATACCAGATGCGGAGATGGAGACCATCTAGCTTGGTGCTCTTTCTGCGATTTGGTCGGAGATGGGTTTAGTGTGGTAGTGGTGAAGATGGAGAGGTTGGTAGTGGCTCTGCAGATAAGAGCAGTGGGGATGTCGTAGTTGTAAGATCGTATGAGTCTTGTGTAGATCGCTTTCTGGATCTCTGTTAATTGTCGATCAGGAAACCTCTGACTGGGTCGAAAGTATGGATGACGATCGCGGATCGGTCTCAGTCGCTCACGAGGAACTGTATGGTGTGAATAATCACAACAGACTGGGTGGGTATAATATCGATGAACCACGAAAAGATGGAATAAATCAGCAGATCCTCAGATTCCAAGTTTCAATGTGATATTAATCACATGATATCCAGCGAAGCAGATCTGAGATGGAAACAGGCGGGTAATTCCTTATTTCCTCTGTCTCTGTCTCTTCTTGTTTATTGATAAGAAAAGACAAAGTGACTGCATATATGTGGCTCTTGATGAGAGCAAGAGACGAGAACTGGAGCGGATGCTATGGGACAGAAAGAAAGCACGCGCACTGTGCAGGAAAAGGAAGAAAGGGAGTAGTGATATTCCAGCTAAAGCGCACTCTCAATGCAGGGACACTCACAAAGCGCCTGCAGCGAAAAAATTGTGTTATAATAGTATGTGCCTCTGTACAACTGCGCCAGGCCGCCACGTCATCCACGGATATAGAAGTGTCCCTACATTCGGGGGGGCATTCGCTAATGATAAGAGAAAGACCGGGTTGCTGACGACTCCTCCATCCGCAAGTGACTTAGACTCCTGTAGAGTTTCTCATTGTGTGCCAGTATTTGAGTCCGTAAGCACTACTGCTATACTTTCAGCCTTGAAAGTGGGGAAGCGAGACGACCCGGAACGCCGGATCTAATTGAGGAAGCGTGGATGGCGTGTCGTTAGCGGTGAGCTTGGCCTCAACCCTGTGTACTCGAGCCGAGGCTGTCACTTTTCCTGTTCTCTTCTTTAGTTTTCCTGCATCATGAACTGGCTTGATAATCCTATGCTTGCACGCGCAATAAAGCACACGGCATGTCTGTACTTTGACCAAGAAGACAGACATGTCCCGCTCTCGTTGTCAACGGGAGATATGGTATCGCTGTGATGGGATGGGAATAACCTCAACCGAACCCTCCAGAGAGTGCCCACGGGGATAGAACGCCGTCGAAACGCTCCCCGCGACATGATTGGCCCCACCATGGAAAAATGTCTCATGGCTTTACGAAGTTAGTCATCGTCTGCCAGCAATCCGGATGCTCATCCGAACAGCATCCGGAACTGAAGAATAATAATAACTCCGTAGGCATTATTCTTATTCATCTGCACTTCGCACTTCCGATCACTGCGATCGGACAAAGTTAGATCCCGATGTCGCGTGCAACCTGTCGAGGAGATCCTGCATACTGGCCGTTAAGAAATCTCCTAGTGAATCAATCTACTGCCTTGATTGGTAAAGCAGTCGCAATTGAGGCTAAAGAGAGTATCTCTCGAATATCTGCATTAGTGTCCCAAAAAGCTATTAAGGCGCATTAAGTTCGACGGAAGATAACTCCAAAATATTCATACATCCGCCCGTCACAAATATGTTCACGAATCAAACAGAAGGAGAGCCACCGAATATCATTATACATCCAGAAGGCACGTGCATCTCATCAAGAGAGCAAAAGAATCAAAAGGTAGAGCGGAGCAAAGACAAGAAACAACCCCACCAACATAGTGAAATGGTATATAGCAGTCTGCAAATAGCAAAGTCGCAAGGCACAAAAATGAGATAAAATATCCAATACAGGCCAGCCCGGATGATTGAAGGAACAAGAATTAGAAGAAACGTGACTTCGTCGCCAATGCAAGGGACCGCGAGGCCCATGATGCGTCTTGTTGCGTGTTCCAGTATGCAGTCATTCTGTGTCTCGTAAATGCGGTTCAAGAAAAAAAAAAATCATGTCAGTCATCCCGAGATTAATGATAATTAGACCAAATTGGTAATCGTAACCAGGCCGTGAGCAGTCGTGGGACAGTCATGTTCGTGATCTCGTCATGGTCAATCATAAAACGTACCCCTGAAGGGTAATCCCGACATCATACATCGTGTTTCGGATAAAAAGGATCGTTATTAAACGCTGGCAGTCCTCCGTTTCACCTCGCTCGGCTTCTGCGCATAGCCGATCAATAGTCTGAACCCGGTTCCTCGCTTCTGACACTCCCGCAGAAGCTTCTTATCCGCCCAGATGCTGTGGTCCAGGTCTCCGTCGGGCAGGACGGGCATCTCATAGCAGCGCGTGAACCACCACCTGCCCACCTTCGCGACAATCTTGGCGATGGATTCATCATTGGATGCCGACGGAGATGGATCAGAAAGGAGATCACCAAGAGAGACCTCGCCGTCATCAGAAGGACTCTTCCGCCGACCGCGTGGCTCCCTAGCAGATCCCACCCGCGCTGAACAGCCCGTTGATGTCGACACAGCGGCTGTCGTGACTGAATGACCCGAAGCTGAAGAGTCTGAAGAGCCAGCGATTGCCCGGGCCACAGGAATGCTCACCATACAACGGTTGAGGTTTTCAAACCCACGTCTCCCAAGGAGTCGCTGGATGCTATCACTAGCCGGCTTCAAGCTGATCCGTGGGTCTGACATGCATATTCTCTCCTTCAACATTCGCATTGTTCGCCGTGTCCGGTTACCCATATTCACTAGGTCCAAATCAAGTACGCTCATCTCAAGGTAGCCACCAGGGCGCAGAACTCGCTTGCACTCCGAAATGATATTGCGTTGTGCAGCTTCAGAACAAGCGGCCGGGAAGCGAAGGACACAGACCGAAAAGAATCGTTTCGGGAAAGGAAACTGCTCTTCCATGCTTCCATGGTGGACGCTCTGATGGTTAGCAGGGGGCTGCCAGGCCTCTGGGTTGGTGGAAGGGGAGGGAGAAGGCCCCATTATTAAGCTGTAGACAGTAGCGGTGGGGTAGGTTAAGGCACAGTAGAACGACCAGTCATCGTTTCCCAGTCCATCAATAACCAGTATACGCTCTTGCTCTCGCGACTTTATCATATTGTGCGCAGGACTGAAGAGTACTCGTCCAAATGACAACCACCTGCTGGTCATTAGAGACCCAGAACGAAGATTGGCCTGTGCCATAGCTCCTTGTCTCTCTCGTTCAGCAAGATCTGACAGGATAGTGTTACGATGGCGAGCGGACTCAAAGCTTGTCGACCGTGAACGCGAAGGCGATCGCAAGAACGTCGCAGGCTGCTCGCCCTGAACAACGATGGATGGATTAGCTTGTGGCGTGAGGTCCATGCTTTCTGTGTTCCGTTCAGCGTATCCGCCAATCAGTTCGCTGAATGAGACCTGAGTACATGGACTAATAGACGAGTGTAAAGCGGTTGCGATTGTCGACCGACGAAGACGGACAGAACTGGTGCTGGACCTAGCCGACTCTTGTTCAGGACCAGCAGAATTAGAAGTTGCCCGGCCGGGTTCATGAGCATTCAGTTCAGCTTGCAACGTCTTGCTCGCCTTTGTTGCCAGCTTGAAGGAGTCGTCCGCTGCACATTCATTCCTTGCCTTGGCATTCGACGTTTCTGGGGAGAGATTATCAATCAGATCATCATACTCATTCCACACTTCGTCCTCGGTGGGCCTAGATCCTGGTTCCGCGGCGACAGCAGTCACATCTGCCAGACTCGGTTTTCCTTCTGAGCTGCTGGATCCTGATATAACGGACTCTTTTCTCGGGGATAATGCCAGGAACTCGTCATCCGCATAAGCTCCGGCTGGGAACCTGAATTCTGCGGCAGGGATAGGGGCACTGAATGGCTTGGCAGTCTCCGGTTCTGAGTAGAATGGCCTGCTGGGTAGAACGTCCGTCTGAATCCCGAGAGCTGGGCGACTGGACACGTACCGTTGCTGGCTCTGATCACCAGCCGTGACCGTCAATGAAGGAGCATCCTCGCGACTGAAAGGCCTAGAGAATGACTGCGTGGCTGGTTTATGCTGTCTATCTCTCCGCGAAATAACCGGCGGAATCCGGCCAACGGAAGCAAGACGAACCCGACGAGCCTTCTGAACCGTTTCCAGTTGTCCAGAACCTTGGGGATCATTGCGAAAGTATACCTTGGGTGAGGACCGGCCTTCTGGGAGACGTTCAGCTTGCAACAGGGGTGGAGATGGCAGCAGGATAGACTCGTGCCGTCTGATGATGTTCAGACCAGGAGGGACATCAGCAGATGGCTCTAGATATTCCGTCTCGGTTGGTGGTGACTCCTCCACGTGATGCAGGATATCATCCAGAGAGTCTGAAGAAGTATCTAGGAGAGCATAATGAGGTATCGTTCGGCTGCCTGGAACGGGAGCGACGGCCACAGGAAGCTCAGTAGTCGCAGGTTTTACATTATTGTCGTGCACCAGCTCTGAACGCCCCACTGCTTGGCTTCTCTGGAAAAAGTTCCACCGCGACGTCTTAGCCCGTAGCTTTGGCTTGCGGTTCGGATCCTCCTTGCTTTTCCCTTTGCGATCTGGTGAGGTGGAGATAATCGGCTGTACGTCAGGAAGCAGAGGAACAGTCGAACGATCGGTCTTCTCCGGCCGGTGCGATGCCGGGGTGTCTGCTTTAATTCCACTTGGCGACACGGGCTTTCCTTCATTCTTGTTGCCAAAGAGCTGTGACCTCCGGAACGAAATGCGCTTGCTTACGACAGGACGCAATTTTGCATTCTCCGTTTGCGCGTGGGAATGGTCTTGCTTCCATGGTTCGGGCTGGGACTGACCAGGAGGACCTGGAATTGGCACAAGCGAACCTGTCGAATAAGCTCCTTGCTTTGCATTCTTTGCATATATCGCCAGATTTACCGTCGAGGCATTGCTGTGAGTGCCGGTGGTCTGCTCGCTGCGTACTCGAAGAAGCTGCGCGCCATCCATTCCACCGCCATTGATGACAACAGGTTCGAGACGGTCAAGTAGAAAGTCATCAATTTCTGGACCATCAGAGCCGTGAAGACTGCTCTTGCTGCTGGAAGCTGACTTTGCCGCACTGCGTGTGGTGCTAGTCGACCTTCCTCTGCTACCGCTGGTGCTGCCAACGCTAGGTCGTCGACCCCGCTGGGCATATCTCCCGTAGCCCTCATGACCAGTTCCTGCAACAGGCCCCTTCCTAGTCGGTCTGTCGCTGAGGTTCGCGGACTGTAGATCTGCGTTACTCTTGGGCTTCTTAGCAAAGATTCCAAAACGCTTGCTGGGGGATGAAGGCACAGCCTTCTTGTCCTGAGGTGGAGTCTTTGTTAGAGTTCTCGTTGACTTTGCACGGCTTCCTTGGTGGGCCGATGGCTGGGACGGTAGCCGGGCAGAGCTTCTTGACTGAAATGATTCAACAGATGCTGCAGCTGGCTGTGAGGGAGCTGGGTGAGATTGGTCGCCTAGATGTAGTTCCTCTGCTGACTCACGCCGTTTGTGTCCGGTCGTTCGCAGATAAGGCAAGTTGCTCTTGATCACAGGAGATGGCTTCAACTCGAGTTTCTCGGTTCCTTCGCGGCTGGGCCTCGGAGGCACACTGGGTGTAGATGCGGGTTGTTGTGTGATTGTCTCCTCGGACATTCGAGGGGAAAACACACGTCGTTCAGCTTCCTCAAAATGGCGCTCATCCTCCTGCTTCTTAATAACGTCATCTGTTACGTTTCGCGCTTGCTGTCTGAAGTTCACAGATGATTTGCGCGGCGGAGCTGCGGGACTCTTGCTGAGATCCCTAGCACCTACAATACCTTTCTGTTGGTCTTTCTGGCTTGATCTAGTAGATGGATCAGGAGTCTGTGTTTTAGCCGGATACCGCAACCTCGTAGCACTTGCGTCTGTCCTTTCTATTTGCGGACTGGATGCCAGAGCCCTGGATGGTACTGGTAACCTGGCCTGAGTAGGACTTGGTTGCCTCAAGCGGTAACCAACCTTTGTTGGCTGAACAATCCCGGGCGAATAAGATGACAGGGAAGTTGGGGTTGATTCCCTGCTCCACATGCCCGGTGATCCAGAGTAATGCGTGGAAGGACTGCTGGCGGAGGCAAAGTGTGGCGTCGGCGGTGGGAGGTTATGAGTTGATAGGCTAGCAAGTTCTTTGGGAATGTCCCTAGTTGAAGACTCGACTAGTTTCTTCTCACTTTGTGACTGCGGATAATGGGATGGAAGTACAGGCGTTACCTGCCCCGGAGGTGGTTCAGGATGACGGGGCAACTCAACCTGCGCAGTATCTATCTTCGAAAACTGCTGAGGCTTCGGGACTATGGTGTTGCCTGCCATGTTTGCGCGCAATAACTCAACATCTGACAGTCCTGACAATCTCTTGATACCTTCAGCAGGTTTGCCAATCAAAGGAGCTTTCCTGCGTAGAACATTCCGGGGACGGTCCTTGACGACAGGGGCTTGTCTACTCGACTGAGCTGCAATAGGTGGTGCTTGCACCACACTAGGTGGTTGCATGGTTCGGCCTGGAGTTGACAGATTAACTGAAAGACGTCTCTGAGGAATTGATGAGGCCCCTCCAGATGGCCTTGGAATTAGTGATGGGCGTGCACCGTTACTAGATGATGAAGTTGAGATAGGAGGGCGAGGCGTCATCACCCGGCGGCTATCCTCGGTTTCGGATGCCAACGACGTGCTCTTCTTCCTAGCAGCGACGGAAGTTGAACGTGCAATCTGTGGCCTCGATGACTGTGGAACAGGAAGGCCTGTGGAAGCCATGGGGCGGGACGCTGTTGTATCTCGCGGATCTCGAGACTGGGGAACCAGCTCTCTGGGTCTCAGGAATCGACCCCTGTCCGGTCCGTACGACGACATGGTGTGACCCTATCTCGCAATTTCGGCTCCAGGGCCGAAGATAGAAGATCCGACAATAAACCTGATAACTGGAAATATAGAATCATCACGTCTGACGAAGCCCAACTTGTATTAGATAGATCGCCCGGTTGTTGCGTTGCTGTGATGTTGTAAGTCCCTGTACAAGAAGCCTGGTAGATTTGGCACAGCTGCGTCCACTCACATCTTCAGAGCTTATATATCGCTTGCGAGTAAGAACATTAAACATGTAAGTGAAAACCATAATAGAAAAAATGATCTTGAAAAGAAAGTATGCTGGGGTATTCGCTGAAGCGGCACATGAGCAGGATGATGTGCGATGAAAAGGAACTAGCCACCGGTTGTAAGATCCTCTATAGAAGAAGAGTCCAAGTTAAATAACTGCACACATAGGCAAGTAACAACAGACTGGCACAAGAAGCTGTCAAAAATCAAGCATGAAATTAGAATATTGGGTACAATTATGCACCTGCTCCGCCACAGTACGGAGGGGCCGTCGTCGGGGAGAGTGGCTAATTTTGCAGGCGAGCCAGGCTCGCTTGTAGCCAGAGGCGCAAAACCACGTCACCTCCCCAGTGCCTGAAGTATACAGAACTGAGACTACAGAAATCAAAGAGGGCGGGAAGAAGTTGAGCACAGGGTTGATAACTCTCGAGAGCCCGAAGGCTCTGTTGGGTTTTCAGGACAGATATGGACAAGACAGGATTAACCCTCATGGTGGGGAATTCCGAGAGCGGCGGCTCATTGGAATCTCTCAGCAGACCTGGCGTCTCTCGTACGCTCCCCTAGACAAGCTCTTGAATTGAGCAGGGTGATAATCGGTCACTTCTTCATTCACACTGGTTGACAATCCATGCTTGACGACGGTCCGGTAGAGTTACGGGCGGGAACGGGGCCGAGCAGCGGGTGAACAGCCTTGGGAGGGCATTCCACGGTTGGATAAGAGACTATGGACGGATAGATCCACACGGAGGCCGTTTGTATCGTTTTAGAAAGGTATCCGGTTGAGTATATCCAAAGGATTTTTGCTTGCGATGCCGGGCATGCTCCTGACGCCGCAGAGTCAGAGCACAGAGGCAGCGCTAAGCGCAGGCAAAGCTGACAGGCTGCGATGCAGAGCAGTGGCGTTGTATGGCATGGGGCCGCATGCGCAGCCTCTTCTTCCCGGCCATATTATTGACCAGCGTTCGATAGTCCCTAGACGAGAGCTCGAAACAGCTCTGTACTGGTACAGCACATATGTTTTCCGGCGGTTGTGCGAGCATGAAAGAGCGAACGAGGTGAGAAAGGGCTTCGTGGGTCAGGTGGTGGTCAGTGACCAGTTGCATCTCCAGGCGCCACGGAGACGCCGACGCCATGCAGATCTCGAGGGCTTGGAAGAAGAATATGACAACCGAACGCTCTCATAAGTAGTAGTTATAACTGTGGCCTTGCTGATCGCACAGATGGCCAGATTTTTAACAGCCTACGAACGGCTCTCAGAGCACAGGAACTATGCAGCCAACATCGGAGACACCGATACACATTTCTCGACTGTCCCGCAACATCATTAAATATGGTCTTGGTCTCTAGCAAGACTAAATAATACCTACCACGGACCATCTGCGAGGGTTCATCATCGCAAATGTAGGATAAACAAGCTTGTTATGAACTGATTTGAAGGATCCGCAAATTGTGGTTGGTGGCATAGAAAGCATTTCGAGTCGCAATACTTCAGACATGCTCGGGTATCGCCATACTTACAGCGCAAGCACCTGACGAAGAGGCACCCAGCTAGATACCTACCCCAACAGTCTTGACTCAACACATGCAGATGGTCACCCAGTTGCTACCCATCACAAGTTGTTGGGATATTCCCTGTTGGATGCTGTTCCCTCTCTGCTTCTGCAAAAGCTTGACGAACACTACTACTGTGAACACAGGAGATATCTCGCTGGCGTCACCTCTCCGCAGCCGACTCCCTGTTTCGTCCTTGAACCCTCACACTCGCTCCGCTTCATCACAACCGATCACTCCCATAGAGAGCATCTAGACTGACTGATTTGAAAAGAACATGCGCAAGTCCGTTTCAAGGGTAACTGAGCGGTTTGTGCTCTTCCAGTCCCACATGGAACCCCGCCATGCTTGACCATAGATGACCATATAGAGATGCCAGGGACCATGATCCACCTCTGACCGGTCGTTCTATGGTTCCAGGTTCTGTCAAAGTTCCTAGAGCCCGTGCTGAACCATGTGGAAGTAAGCATATGATTTGATCGCGGACTGGTTTACGGGCATGCGTTAACAGCGGTATCACATCCACCGTTCGACTTAGGACAATCCTCTCACATCCAGTAAACGGCACCCAAGAAACTGGATTCGCACGGGATACTTTAGGGTCCATGCCGGTTGTGGAGACCAGGCGGCTAAACGAAGCCTTTAGCAGAGGCGAAGAGACGCACAGAAGCTGCGGAGGGGAAGCCCGGGCTCTAAGCAATTGTTACTGTAAATTCCGGAGTGAGCTGTTTTGAATTCTGTATGGTTGGCCGATAGCGCCCCGTGAATGAGAACGCCTGCTAGTACGGAGTACGTACTTAGTACCGCTTATCCAGTGGTGAGATCCATTTCCCGCTCGACGGGCAGACTCGAGACCTATACGGAGTTAGAGGGTTATCAAGACACGAAAAGAGCCTGCCTTTCCTCATGCAGTAGAAGGTCACCAACATGCAGAAGCTTCCTGGAGAGCTTGAACGGCAATCGCCCGCACGGAGTACTCCGTGCTGCAGCTGTAGATCCCAGATCGATCTGCAGCGACATCAGCTGGCGTTGGATCAGATCGAGCGGTCGCTGGGACATCGTCGCAAAGACTACTGCAGGCAGAGTTATTTTCGGGCTGTTCGCGGGCGGCGACTCGGCGCTGGTTCGCTGCAGGTACCGCCCGGGCGCTGCAACTGACTGCGCCGGCAGCGCTCTTTCAGCTGCCATGATGCATACTGGTAACTGTATGTATCTCGCAGCTTGGTGAAGCTTCACTCACTTCGCCACCGTCTATTTCGGAGAATTCTCTCGGTTGTTGAAGCTTCTCTACGGATCCACGACCGCCGTATGGTAGACATGACGGATTCAGTTTTGCCGTTTATCATGACAGCGGAACAGCCCCCGCTGAGGCAGTGTTCCTGTTGCACTCTCGCCGAGTAAGTAGTCAGTGTATGTACCAAGTATTATGCAACGTATGCTGTATGTATGCGAACACTGTCCTCTCATGTCCGAAATTTCCCAGTAGTAACAGGCAGGCTTCTACGTTTCTTCGGGTGTATGCGCTTAAAGGGATTTTCCAAAGTTTGTCTGTCCGCTGACGGTTGTTTTACAGTGCAATTGGAAGCGCCAGTCTTCCAACCCGCGTTCGCCTATTCTCCTCCTCAATAGACCCTGGTCTTCTACTTTCATCCCAGTCTCAAAGGCCCCTCCAAAATAATAAGAAAATCGAAGAACTCGCCGATTCGAGAGTAAAAAGGCCTTTCATTCCGATAAAATCCATCCACAAACGCCTGTAAAGTAGGAAAAGATGTCAAGAAAAGAGTGATAGAACGGCGAATACCGTCGATAGTTGTATTACGCAGCAGTCGCGAAGCGCTTCTTTCGAGCCTCCAGCGCCAGACGGTCTTTCTCACTCAAGGCAGGCTTCGCCTCGGTCTCATTGCGGTTGCGATTTCCACCGTTTCCACCACCATTGCCGCGACGGCGGTTTCTGTTCCTTCCATTGAAATCGCGTCGCTTGCCTCCTCGACCACCCTGTTCATTATCACCGCGGCCTCTCTTGCGTGACTTTTCATCTGGCAGCGGTTGGTCCAGACCCTTGATAGCAACCTTGGCGTCTCCGTCAGTTGTGGCACCGAAGCGCTTGGCCCTGGCAACCGCCTTCTCTGCCTCCTGCAGAGCCGTCTGCGAGTCCTCGACAATCCCAAATTTCTCCGCACGAGCTTTACGCTTCCTTAGCTCCTCCTCGACCTCCGTAGAAGGCAGACCAATGCTGTAGTCGACAGCTGGCTTCTCCGGCTCGGCGGGAGTTTCTTCCGCAGCAGTAGCTGCTTTCTCTGCCTTTTCTTCGGTGATGGCAGTGGCAGGAGCATTCCCCTTTGACTCGACCTTTAGGTCGTCCGTCTTGGCAGGATCAGTGTCGAGCTGCTGATTTGGAACTGCGACAGGATTCGGAACCTCGCCCTTTCCGCCGGCAGCCATGGCCGCAGCACCTGCTTCAGTAGAAGGCTTCACTTCGTCGTCCTCCCAGTCGATTACATCCTCTGCATTATCGGTCTTAGCGGCAGATGCAACGGCCGGAGCAGCGGCGGGGGCGTCCGTGTTGGTTTTGCTATCGTCTTCTTGAAGGCGCGCGATCAGGTCGGCCTTCTTGCCATTGTGCGGCAAGGAACGAGACTTTAGGATCTCGATCAGCTCCGCATTCGTCTTCTTGCTGTAGTCGGTCGCCATCTTGGCCAAACTTTGGTCGTCCTGTGGTTAGGAGGATGAGATGAACGATAATGCTTTGCGAAAGGGCGCTGACGTCGACACCGGCTATTGTTTGAGGACTTTAGGTTGGTAATAGAAGATTGAGTAAATTAAAGACAGGATCCGCGCATGGCTACCTGGAGTTGTTGAGCGGTAGATCCGAGTGAATAAAGGAAATAGGCAAAGATGAAAGGATCGCCTTGTCAACAGCGTGTTGACTTCACCAACCGCGAGGGCAAACTTGCGGCGCGCATCACCATCACGTGGATGACACGATGATTTAGTCAGCATCTGGCCAGAGCGAACTTAACTAACTACAAGTACATCTAATCTAAGTAAATGTTGTAAAACTTTAGCGCGAAGCGCGTTAGGCCAATCAGATCCCCTCAGGTCTCTCAGGCCAATCAGATCCTCTTAGACGCGGAAAATGCCAGTATAGAGTAACTAAAAGTGCAGAAGCCTATAGGGACTTAAGGCCTCTTATTGTCAAGGTGCGGGCTCAGGAAGCAGGTCAGAACAAATAGAATAAGGTAGTTGATACTAGGACTAGCTATGGGATCTCTATCTAGCTGATTTAGACTAAAATAGGCTGTTGCAGGCAGGCTTAATAAATAAGATATAGCTTAAGGAGCTTAAATTTAGATTAAGCTATATATTAAAGATATCTTTATAAAATTATATAATTCCTTATATAATCCTCTATATTAGTATTATAATAATACTCCCCTCCTTAAAATTAAGCTTTATTAAGATTATCTCTAGGCTTTAGCTTATTTAGATAGCAGTAATAGAAGTTTATAATAATTTCCTAGGCATATTATAGATAATATATAGGCTCTTCTATTAGATTATTATAGCCTAATTACTTAATAATATATTATAATTAGGGGTTTCTGTTATAGTGCTAGTATAGGAGATAGAGATCTACTGGCTAGTATTTATATAAGGTATTATATAACCTTGCAAAGATATCTTTAGCGCATAGCTTAATCTAAATTTAAGCCCTTTAAACTATATCTTATTTATTAAGCCTACCTGTAATAGCTTATTTTAATTTAAATTAGCTAAATAGAGATTTTATAGCTAGTCCTAATATTAACTTCTTTATTCTATTTATTCTAACTTACTTTTTAAGCCTATATCTTAATATTATATAGCTTCTATTTAAGAGTTAATACTATTAATAATACCTGCCTTAATTCCCTTATTCCTGCTAATAACTCTAAAAGAGTTTATTAAATATATTACTATTAGCTATAGGCTAAAATAATATAATTACTATCGCCTAGTATATAAATATATTATTAAGGCTAAATTATCTATAAATAAAACTAGCTAATATATTAAATAAACTAAGGTAAAATTTTAAAAACTTTAGTAGGAATTCGCAGCTATATAATAGAGACTTAAATAAAAAAATACTAATCTTAAAGCTATTTAGCAGTATTAGGAAATATAATTTAATAAAAAAGAATAATAATATATTTAAGCTATTCTTAAAAGAGACTAAGCTTATTATATAGCTACTCTTATTATAAATATATTTATATTTATATTTAAACTTAAGCCTAATATTAAGAGGCTTATAGCTATTTTAATAGAAATATCTAAGATATTTACTATTATACTTTCTTCCGCCCCTAGATTTTTAAAAAGATTCCTTAACTTTAATAAGTTTAAAGATAATTAAAAGGACTTTTAGTGCTTTATAGCCTAGATCTAGGAGAAGATAATAATTAACTAAGACTAATTCTTAACCCCCTAGAGCTATATAGCCTATATAACTAATTGCTTAAAGAGTGCGTCTTATACTTAAATATTATTATATATTAGAGATAGGACTTATATTTTTAACAATTATTAAAAGATTTTAAATATTTTAAAATATATATTTAATAATCTTAATTATATAAATAATATATATAGTAAATTATTTAACTTCTATTAAATTAATAAAAAATTTAAAATTTTTTTTACTAAGTTCTAGCGCTTAATATTAAAAAAAAAATATTTAAAAGAATACTATTTATCTTGCTAAAGCAAGCTATTAATTAAAAATTTTAAAGAATATTATTATATAGCTAGCCCCTAAGTTATAAATATTACTAATTTATTAAATTCCTATAAGATTTTAAGAACTACTGCTGCTAATATACTATAAATTAGCCTCTTATTATAAAGATTTATACTATTATTTTAAGATTTACTTAATATATTTAATCTCTCTTATTTATTCTAAGTTTTACCCTAGCTATAAGATATAATAGCTAGCCTTAGAGAAGCCCTATATAGAAAAGTAAACTAGCCTTAATATAGCTATATAACCTAATAGATTTAAATATTTTTAAATACTTAAATAAGAAAAAGTATAGCTTATTATACTATAAAATTAATATTTGCTTTTAATATAGCTTCTTAGAATATTATATTAAAGATTATCTATATTTAGATAACTGCTAGAAGATCTAAATTATAGCTATATATAAATCTTATCCTTAGATTCTTTAGGCAATTTAATTTCTAGATTTATATAATTTATCCCCTAGCTAATCTTTAATAAAAGAAGTAAACCTAGAATAAATTATAGCTAGGCTTAAAAATTATATATTATCTAAATCTCTACTATTATTATTTATAAAATTAACCTTAAGAAATATCTATAATAATTAAAATTAATAATATTATTTATAATATTAGAGAAGAAAAAGAAGAAAATCTGCTTATTAATTTATACCTTACTTAATATTAAAGCTAAAAAATAAAGATTTATAAATTAAAGATAAGCTAAGGATTAAAAGTTAGAGCCTATTCCCTTAAAAAGCCTAATTATTTTATATATATTTAATAAAAGAGAACTAGAGAATAAGAAGATTATATATTATATCTAGATAAATATAAGAATTAAGGATTATTTTAAAAAAAATACTAAATTTTATATTATCTAATTAGTATATTATCTTATTATTTTAAAACTTTTTTAATTAAAGTATTATAATCTATACCTATAATTTACTGCCTATAATATTATTTTTAATAGTAATTATTATTAAAAGAATTATAATATACTTTTAAAACTAATTAAAATACCTATCCTATATAATATTCTCTTAAAAGCTTTATTTTAATACTTGCCTTTAAGACCTAGAGAATTAAAAAAAAAGAAATATAGCCTTTATTTCTCTAACTGCCTATTCTGCCTATATTTAAAGAAATATTTAAATATTTATAATTATCCTAGAGGACCTAGATATTATTTTAAAGATTAAATAAATTTAAAAAAAAGATCTTATCTATCTATTATTTAAGGAGTTTAAAGATTATATTAATATCTTTTTTTTTAAGGAGGCTAAGCGCTTATTATTATATTATTCTTATAACTATAATATTAAGCTATTAAAGGAGAAGTTACTTCTTTTTAAACCTCTATATTATGCCCCTAGCTCCCCGCTAGGGCATAAGCTTACAGGACTGCAGTAAAGCCCTAAATCTGAATATAATACTAAGGTAATTAGTTAAACCTCGCTCTCTCCGCTTTCAGGATTTATATAAGATAAAGCTAGGAAGTGCTTAAGATTTAGAATATAAATAGGCTCTAAATTATTATTTTACTAGAAGCTAGCGATTTATTCTAATATAATATATACCCTATTATTTCCTTACTTATATAAACTCTTTATTACTAGATCTCTCTAGTATAAACCCTTTTTTATACCAGTTAGACCCTTTATTATAATAGTTAACTCTTTATCTTGCTAGTAAACCCTTTTTTAAGCTAAATATATAAAGCAATTATCTCTTTTACTATAATTATTAGTAGAATAATTTATTAATAATCTTTAAGAACCTTTATTCCTTATAATTTAAATTGCTTAATCTAGCAATATAAGTAGCTATACTAATATATTCTATAACTTAAGGAATAAGAGTCTTAGCTTTTAGCTTATAGTATATACTTTAAAAAGTTTAGAGATTATTAAACTTAACTTATAATAACTAATTATTAAAGCTAGCTTATAAACCTTAAGAGATATTCTAATAGGCCTAGAGAAAAATTAACCCTAAATAAAAAATAATCTATTAATAAAGAGAGATTTTTTATAGCTCTTTACTGTTATCTATATTAATAAGCAATTAAAGCTTAAGCTACCTAAACCGCAGAGGTATAGAGCTATTATATTTAATGCCTATTACTAGTAGTACTAGTATATAAATAAATATCTAGCCTATAATACTTTATTATTTAAGATAAAAGATAAAAAGATTATTTATACTATAGCCTTACTAAATAGAGAATTAGCTTAATCTTAGATCTACTAGCAAGAGAATCCTAACTTCTAGATACTAACTTAGAGTAGTTTTAAAGGTTAATTACTAGACTTACTTAATAATCTATATTACTAGGGATAAAATGCAATAAATTACTTTTATACCCTAATCTAATATTTAAATTAAACTGCTAGAGCTTTTTTATACTATTTTAAATAAGCTTGCGTAAAGCTAAATTAAGATAAAGAATTTAATAATAATAGAATTATTTAGTCTTATATTTTTTATATAAAACTATAACTTAAAGTTTAGACAGGCTTATTAAACTATTAAGACCTCTTAACTAATCTTAATTAATTAGTATCTTTAGCTATTAATTAGGAAATAAATTAAAAAAAGAATAAACTTTTAAATCTTCCTACTATACTAAATATAAATAAACTAATATAAAGTATATTAAAAGACTTTATTTTAGGGCAGAAGAAAAAGGAGACTAATAACTAGTATAAGGAGATAAATAAACCCTAAAAAAAAAAGTTTAAATTACTAGTAGAATAAGACTAGTTTAAAAAAGAAAGCCGCTGCTTTAACTATAATAAAAAAGATTATATATAAAGATTTAAATTATACCTAAAAAAGAAAGATACTCTTAAAAAGAGAAAGCCTAAAACTATTATAATCTTTTATAATAAAGAGTCTAAAATAAATAAAGAGTCTTTATATACTTTAATATAATTCTACTTACCTAATAGTATATTTAAAGATAAGGCTTTTATTAATTTAGGTTTAGCTTAATATTATATTAGCTTAAATATAGCTATATAATATAGAATTCCCCTAGACTTCTAGTAGTATATAAACTTTAAATCTATTAATAAATATAAGATTTAAAAGTATAGATTTTTTAAAACAGAGATCTATATTATTAATTCTAAAAGAACTATAAAAAAAGTAAATATATACTTTTATATTATTCTAATACCTAGATTATCTATTATCTTTAGAAAATTATAACTATATATTATAAATCTTATTATAGATTAGGAGTTAATAATT